GGTATTTGTAGGTTCCTCTACATGGATCTCCAAATACGGAATTGCTGGCCTTAATGGAGCATCTGCTTTTCCCGTTGCATAATCTTTTTACCACAAACAGGGATTTTCTGGATCTACATCTTGTGCTACAATGACTAGCACCCTTTCTTGAACAGGTTCTTGAGTTTTGTCGGCCATATGCAGCATAGTGCACTCGAATGTACCGATGTCTTCCGCAATTCAAAATCATTCGGCGATGTTCACATGCTGTTTTCGTGTGTACATACCTTCCTGTTATTTAAATGAAAATTATGTAATTAAAAAATCTAACGGAAATGTAGCAATTCTTTAATTATCTAAACAAGGTAGTAATTGCAAGTTTTACATAATTTCGGCAGCAATAGAATATTTTCCTTCTCTAGCAATACCCCATCCTTTTCTCATTGTCTATTTCTAATGCCTCGCAGAATCCAGGTATAATCTTTATTTATTAACCACAAAATTCTACCTTCTTCTTTAAAACTTAATTCTTAATTTCTAATTTTGATCTTCCACTTGCTGATATATAATTTTATCAGTTTTGGTATATATTTTTGTAAATGGTTAAAAAAGAGGGGCCAGTAAGATAGGTCAGCATATTAGTAAAACTATAGGTGTAATTACGAATACTTAATTTTATACTGACAACCACATATTATTTGACTCCTATGAATTTTACCAAGATATGATTCTCAAATAAAAATGTTCTCCATTTACCAAGCTATTCCACGCGATCTTATCTTCTGCAGGTACATGAGTTTATACACAAGTATTTAGTTCTTTGCCTGAATTCAAGTAAGGAAAAAAATAGACTTGTGTGAAAAAGGTTGAAGATAACAAACAGTGATCAACATAATAAAAACCTACAAACAACCTACAAATCTGTGAACAGGGCATAAAACATGGACCCCCGGGAATTCCAGAGGTGGGATCAGGTGCCTAGGAGGAGTAAGCATCTCTTGTCGACCTGTAACATCCTTTGTGAGACCTACGTTTGGATTAGGTAGACGGAATAATTCCGTAGTATAATTTTGTGTAAAAACAGTCCTAATAATTGGTATGAAATATCGCTCAAAATACGACCCAATGATAGATTGTCGGAGAATCACATTTATTGAGAGCAAAAACCTATCTTTAGTTTAGGAGAAGGTTTTGACACTTATATGCAGATAGAAAAAATGAAATTTCTTCATTCTTAATTCATTTTTAACAATTTAAGCATATCATGTCATTTTAGCAATAAATACAACATATTTAGTCGTAGATTTTGATATCTTTTATCGAAGAAAGTATAACTTGAAAAAAAAAAAATAACCTGGTATAGAAAAAAATGTATATTTTCTTCCCTGAATATTTAAAATTATTAATAATACTCACTTCTTCTCCACCAGAAACCATCAGTATCTTGAAATATTAAAAGATAATTAAAGTAAATAAAATATACGGAAATGACGTAGGATAACAAGATACACAGTGAATGTTTTACTTGATATGATTTATGTTTTTAGTGAAAATTTATGTCATATATTAGAAACATTAAAATTATAGTACCTTGTATAACAAGAAACACAGCTAGGAGAACCAAGATCTTCCACATTTTTTCTTCTGTGTGTCGAATGAAACACTAATGTCAATCTTATCATATTTATATAATATTTTCCCTGTAATCGATGTCCGGTCAATTTATGGAAATTTACTAAACATGTGATGACACAGTGTTAATTAATTTAGTTCTTTGAAGAATCATTGAACCATTTGTCGATCGACCATTAGCATTACGAACTTACTGATGTTGTTTATCATTGCCTGGGCGGTAATTCAGGCTATTTTTTTGTAAAGCAATGTTTTACATACACATCTTGTTTATTACAAGAAAAAAATCCCTAATAATACTGTCTAGTAAAACAAGATCTTTCTCAGGTGTAAGATATTTTACTGGAAGGTAGTATGTGTTGTTGATGGAAACTAAAAGCATGCAATAAAGGATCATATAAACAAATTTTCAATTACATCTAACATAATTTATTAAAGTCATTTGTGTTAGATTGATTTATCTGAGAACAGGACGCTTCTTGCTTAAACTCAGTTAAGTTGACAATAATGACCAATGACCATAAACATGTCCACTATTTTTTAAAACCCTCTATAGACTAAAGGCGAAAAACAAAAAGACAATGAAGTACTGATGATCACAAATCACTTTTGTTTATTCAAGTAGGGCGGTCCTTCGGATGAGACCGTATAAATCGAGGCCCTGAGTCACAGCAGGTGCTGGCATGAAAAAAATTCCTCATTGCCCAATGACCCTGAGTGCCGAGTATAGGTCTAAATTTACAGCCCTACACCGGCAAGTGGTGGCGTCTCCATATGAGCGAAAAATTCCCGAGAGGGAACTTCAACAACAAACTTAAGTGGTCAAAATACCTGAAAATAATTGATCAAATGATTGTATGTTGTTTAAAGTTCCATTCGAGAATTTTTACTCATATATAGAGACGTCACCATATAACGGCGAAGGGCTACAAATTTGGGGCTTTACTCGGCATTAGGGCCATTGAGCAGTGGGAATCTATATCGTGCCAACACCTGCCGTAACACGGGGCCTCGGTTGTTTATGTCTCACCTGAAAGACCCGCAACTTTCACTTCAAAGTGCTGAGGGCTTGGCGAAGGAACAGTTGAAACCTGTTTTTATCGACTTAAGTAAGTCGAGGCCCTGATTTTTCGATCATGGAGCGAGTGCTCTACCGACTGACCTACCGTGAAAGCCACCTGAAAATGAAGTGTTCAATCTATTCATCTTAGCCTATTATAATGCTATAATTGCTGAATTCGATCAGAAATTAACTAATAAACTGTACATTTCAATTAATTTTAACCTAGATCAAAGGACGGATTAATCTTTTATAACATACCACTAAATCAGAACTCTTTAGTGTGCAGTTTGTAGAAGGCTCTTAAGTTGTGCCAATGAACATAAAATTATGTCCAATATATTTTCCTCTTAATATCAAGGAGAACTTTTTCGGTAGTTTTCTGTATGTAAACACCTGATAAAAAAAAAAACTGAATGAAATACGTTATGCAGCTTAACCATGGAAATAACATACCAGTGGTTTATAGTGAAATTTATTTGTTGCTTTAGGAATTTTGTAACAATTCAATCAAAAAACATATTTTTTTGACTTTTCTTGAATAGTATTTAACTGATAGAGCTAAAAGTGAATATATATTGGTAAAGTTTGATGAAGAAAAAAACCCACTGTTGCTATGGTTACCAAGAAGAGAAAATGTTCGACTTTGTTCACTTTATAGCAATATTAAACCCCATGTGGTAGTTTCTTGCATCCAGTTAGAGATTGTGTGGAAGTCAAAATTGAAAGTCAGGTTGATTGTTCATAAATATCAATCACAAAAGTTTTGGGAATATACAAACAAGGGTACGTTTCCAAGTAAACAAAATATTTTTCAACTTTTTATGCATATTATTTCAGCTTATTTCAATTAGAAAGAATATTTAAATTGAATTTTGTGAAAAATAAAAATTAAGACAACATCAAAACCTTTAAAAATTGACCAACAGTTAAATAGAAATCTGCTTTTTAAAAAAGAAAGGATCAGCTTAAAACACCCAGAGAGTAACTTTTAAATCCCTTTGCAGTATTAAAACCATGGCAAACATTGCCAACCAATAACATTGTCATTGATAACATTGTTATCACATTTCGTCTTTGGTATGTATTACCAGGATCTTTGTCTTTTACTTGTTTTTATTTTTGAGTGTATGACGGTATGAAAATGAATGAATAAAATTTTTACTTTTGAATACTTTGTTTCCATAGTAACATGTAAAATTGGTTTCTCAAATATGTTTATCATGCATTTAAGACATCAAGCCTTCAACTTTTGGAAGCAGTCATTACCACTTGTTTGCACTGCTGTGAGCGTTAACTATGGAACACTGAACATGTTGATTGATTGATTGTTGTTTTACGTCCCGTTCGAAAATTTTTCATCCATATACAGACATCCTGAACATGTTCCTGATGTTGAAAATGACATCTTTCAAACTTTATGGCAATTTACCATGGTAACCATGAGGCATAGGAACAAATTTTTGCCTGATTTGAGATTACTGTATCAAAGAACTTTCAGCACAGACAGTTTGGAGAAAAATTCTAAGACTATGCGAGCCACAACTCCAATATTAAATTTCGTGTCACATTACAGAGAATGGTTTTTAACATGCTAAGCTGATTCTTATGCATTGTTAGGAGAATCTTTCACTTCATACGTCTATTTACAGTATCTTTTTCCTTGATTAGACTTTTTATGCATAATTTATACTCCTTTAATTTAGCCTAACAGTCAACATAAAGGGGAATACTCTATAATTTTACAATTATAATTGAGACTTATTTTTTATTTTTTTTAATTTTTTTTTTATTTTTTGTACTTTTGACAAGCCTATCTTCTATCGAGAACAAGGTGTAGGTATGTTGTTTTGTCAATTTTTTCCCTACAATTATCTTTATTTATTTAACAAATGTTGCTGTTATCGATATTGATACATAGACATTTCATGGGATAAATAAAAATGCAAAATAATTCGAGAAACATATGTTTTATTCTTTGTATTAATTGAAACTTCAAACATCATATTTCGATCAATAAGGGAATAATAACATATCTGTCATGTGCATCTTACAACAGGTTTTATATGAAGCAAATTACTATTGATAAACTTTAACAAACGTATCGCATGTCAAGCATCAGGTGTTAAGAAATAAATGGTATGTAAAGATACTAATTAATCAATTTAGGTTTAACAAAGGGGGATTAAACATCGGCACAAAGACAGGTTTTACAGAAATACGAACCAAACACGACCAAATGTTACCTCCCTACTCGTTTAATGGAATTGATTGATAAAAAAAAAATGTATGACTCATGAAGTATCACAAGTCTACATACTATCATAAGCCTTAAGACAATGAAGCAATAGTAGGACTGATGAAAAGGCAAAGACAATGCCTTTCTAACTGGGACACGACATTATATGTAAGCTCATATATTTTCTTCTCAGGAATATTTCTTTGTTTTACCAAATTTCGGTTTTGATATCAAGTTTCAAAGTGATTTGATATTTCGTACCGAATTTCTTGTTTTCTGGGTTCAGCTGAAAGTAAACAAGGTATTAAATTTGTTCTAATTTACATGTAATGTAAAAAAAATGTGTTTCTTTTTCACATCAGTTAAATCTAATAGTTATACAGTTATATCCATATTTATTTCAAACATAAATAAAACCCCAAAAATTGAAAAAAATATAACCCATTAGCGAATTTTGTCTTATTAAATACAAGCAGTCATATGGTGTATTGAGAATAAAAACAAAGAATGATGTATATTTTCAAGGCCGATTTTACACCAAGTTTCATTTAAGCAGACAAATATTGTAGGAGTATAATTTTGAAAGGATTTAAGAGTTTACATCTTTTACATCTCTTCTTTCATCAGAAACACTCTAGCCATCGCAATGAATAAATTATGTCAACAATTAGATACATTCAGGTTGTTTCAGTGTTCATTTTGTCAATACATAGAATTTCGTTTAATGAAATACAAGCAGTTACATTGTGTATTGGATTTACTCAGTAGTACTTATTTCTTGTGGTTTTGGTATCGGTGAGAAATTTCCGTGAAAATATACTCATCTTGTTGTATAGTAGTACTTGATAATTACTTATAAATTCCATTTGAAGAGTCGGAGTTAACAAAATTCTTAGAATAATTGCAATCAAGAAAGAGCGTTAGGTAAATATAATCATCTACACACCAATGATTAAATACTTTCTTGAGAAAAGAAATTTAGATAGAATGTATTTTATGTATCAATCTTGACCCTGATAAATGTGCAGGAAATGTTATTTTGTAGTACATCGTTGTTTTAAACAAAGTTGATTGTATCATTTGGAAACGACAACGAAATATTTGAAAACTTGATGCAATTTCTGCTGTTAGATTAATAATAAAGAAATTAACTATTCTAGGTCAAGTAGATCTTGTCAATCAAATTCTGTCCTCTTGTTCATATGATTATTTCAAACATTTGAGAGACTATGGAGTATATGAGACGCATCTTGAAAGATATATAAAGCAGGTACTACGATGTAAGGTTCATAAAGCAGTCCTGTAAGAAAGGCAAAAAAAAAAAAAAAAAAAAAAAAAAAAAAAAAAAAAGAAATAGGAATATTGGGTTTCATTTAAGGTGTCTCATTTATTCCTTAAGCCTTAGAGAATAAAGATAGCTTTTATTGACAAGTCTAAACAGGTGTATCAAACTTTATGTTTCAGACTATGTTCTGGGGACTTGGTTCAGACATAAAAAGTCTGCAAGCAGCGACTCGAATACAGGGGTTTCAGACTACGGTCTTGGACAATTAGGAGAATAAAAAAGGATAAAAGTGAAAACTAGCTTAATTATATACCAATCAGTTGCAGTCGAAGTGTAGCGACTTTGTTAATTTGCACAAAAACATATTACCACAGACAACATTAAGAAGAATTATTGTTCGTGGTTAGAACCCACCCTACAGATTACAATATGATAAATATTTACTGAAATTCATCGCTAAAGAAAGTCTCAGATAATGCTGTTTAAATTACTGTTGTTGTTATAAACTTAGCCAATTAAATATCCCTCCCTGCCAAGGTAAAAATGAACAAAAAGTTTTTTTTATAAAAAGTGAAACTATGCATTATACAAATTAAATATATAAACACTTCCATATTATGTAATAAGTGACTCGGTCTCGTAGAAGAGGAAGCTATATTTATGTTTATTTTCCTTGATATACCCTAACTCAGATATTCTATGATGTAAATGTTCATAAAAAACCAGTTTATTGCAATTTATTGACTTTAGTTTCATTTTATAAGAATTCCTTAACAGTATTTTCACATTGCAGCAGGATCATTGCATTGAAAATGCATCGTCTCTCCAATGATTGCTGGATAGAAATGGTGTCGAAAGGTGTCTACATTTTCTGCAGTCCATTGAAATTCGATCTCATTGCAACTTTTTAACTCTTCTAATGTTGTGTTCAAGAGCTGGTTGTATGATCTGTTTCAAATAAAATATGGAATATTTTTTTTTACTGAATAGATAATAAAAATACTATTTCAAAGACTCATCTGTCAGTAGCCTGCCTCGGTTTGAAAATTGATCGTACTCAAAGCATGCACTTGAGTATCAAATAAGTTGGGAAACGTGAACCACATATGTAGGTAATAACAAAATATTACTACATAAGTAAGGAAAGTTGACGATGGAAAAGCTGAATTCATCTCCTTTGTCATACAATTTAGATGTTATTGGCTATTTCATCTATAATCAGCAAAACATCCAAATATTAAATAGATGTGGCAGACTCAGAGGTGTCTTCTTTTATTTCGGGTTCATTTGATATATCGACTCGACATTTGAATGGAAGCAATAAAATATGGAGACAACGAATAGCATTTTCAAGCTAAAAGTCCATTAAAACAATACAAATCGGGAGCAGAGCAAACACGGACCTCCAAAAACAGAGGTGGGACCAGGTGAAACGGAGGAGCGAGCATCCCCGCCTACCGGCCACACCTGCCATCCACAGTCGGTAAACACCGGAAAAATCCGTCGACAATTCAGTGTGTAAATAATGGCCTAACAATTAGTAAGAAAAACATCAGTCAGCATAGGACTAAATGATAGACTGTATTTGCTGACATGGTCATTGTATCGACCTTAGAACTTACGAATGAAGACTTTAAACGAGACTGTTGATATCCTTGTTTCATCAACTTGTTTGTCAATAACTTACCTCGTTTTAGAAATTGTTCATACGTAGAGCATGCTCTTGCGTATCGAATCAACTGAAAAAATATCATCCCAAATGCAGGTGATAAGGTATATTGTTGCATAAGAAAGGGAAGTTGACGATTGAAATGTTAAAGTCATCCTGTTTATCATTAAGCTTGGTTGTTAGATTACCATTAACATCTTTTTCTAATAAAATATCCAAATGTGAAACAGATATGTCAGACTCTGTATATCTTTTATTTCAAGCTCACTGGGATATATCGTGTCGACATATGAATGGAAATAACTATTGTTAATTGATAATACGTCGTCAATATATCTAAATATCGAGTTGAAGGCCATAGCAAGAGATATCTTTTTCTCATGTATATGATTTTGAATAAATTCTGCTTCATATGAGTACAAAAATAATTCAGCTAACAACTGGGCGCAATTGGTACCCATGGGAATTCCAACAGATTTTTGGAAGACCTGGCCATGGTCTCCAAAAACCACATATATATTGTCAATCAGAAACTCAAGCATCTTTTTAGTATCAACTTAAGAGTACCTATGTGTACAATCAGAATGTTTTTTAACAAAATAATTTTTTAAATGATTAATGACAAGGTAAGTAAATTTAGGAGTTCCATTTTTATTGATAAAGCAGCTGTCAATGATGTCAAAAAGTCTAACTATTGTTAATTGATAAAACACACAGTAAATTCTTTCTTCTCATGTACACATTTTTGAATAAACTCTTAATAGGAGTAAAAACATGTCGGCTAATAAAGGATCATTACCAACAGTATTCGAGAGGTGAAGTTAATAAGATGTAAATACCAAAATCAATAGCATCAAAACGTAAGACTTTTCAACACTTTATGCAACCATTCCCTTCGATAAATTAAGACCAGACTTTTTGACATCATTGACAACTGCTTCTACAATAAAAATGGAACTTGTAAATACGCATGCCTTTTTCAATGGCCACCTGAAACTTATTTTATTAAACATTCTGTTTCCAAACACAAGTACTCCGAGGTTGGTATTAAGATGATGCATGACTTGAGTTTCTTATTGACAATGTCTATGAGTGTTTGGAGATCCGGTCTTCCAAACCTGTTAGAATTACCATGGATCCTAATTATGCCCCTTTATTAGCAGACATTTTTTGTATTCATATGAAGCAGAAATTTAAAATAATTCTAAAAAACATCTACATGAAAAAAGGAAGCCTCTTGTTGTGGCCTTTACTTCGAAATTTAAATATATCAACGACGTTATATCATTTAACAATATTAATTTCCATTTCTACGTGGATTCGAAACATCCATATGAACTCGAAATAAAAGACTCGACAATCTGATACTTTTGTTTCATATCTGGATGTTTTACTACAGAAAGACATTGATGGCAAACTGAAAACCAAACTTTATGATAAACGTGATGACTTCAACTTTTTTATCTTCAACTTTCCTATTTTATGTAGCAATATTCCTATATCAGCTGCATATGGAGTTTACATCTCCCAGTTGAATGTAGGATATTGGCAAAAAAGGTAATGATGCAAGGATATCAGCAATCTTGTCTAAAGCCAACAATTAGCAAACTATATAGTCGATACAATGACCTTGTTAGTAAATGCAATCCATCGTTAAGTCGAATGTTGACTAATGTTTTTTTTCCTCATTTATGCTTTTAGTTCATCTTATATAATTTCAAAAAACTGTCTTTCATACAAATTGTTAGGTCATTATTCTCACACTGAATTACCTACTGTGTTTTTCGTGTACCCATTCATGACAAGGAGCACAGGGTGGGTGTTACCGGTCGACAGGGGATGCTTACTCCTCCATGGCATCCGATCCAACCTCTGTTTTCAGAGGTCCATGTTGGCTCTGCTCATTATTTTTATTGTTTGAATGTCTTTTGAGAATGACATTGTTCGTTATCTTTACCTTTCATTTTTAGGGAAATAAAAAAAAACCCCAACAAAATGATACTTAAAATTCCAATCACATTTCCAAAAAAAAAAAAAAAAATACTGTGCTCTAATGAAAGTTTTTCGATAAAATTAATGTGCATCAGGAAATAATTACCACCTAAACCTTGAAAATTCTATATAACCGAGTAGATTATTATAAATTATCTGTCGAGAATTGGCAAAGCATATTAAATTGTTCCTTTAAAGTGAGAATTTTTAGGACCGAATTCCTATTCAAACATATTTACTGTATTTTAAATAATCAACTCAATCACGATTTATACTACTAACTACATTAACTTACCGACAGAAAAGGCTCTTGGACATTTCATTACTTGCAGTATTTTTACCTGTTGATTCCATTAAAACTAACACTGCTTTTCTATATTTATCAAGCTGCGGGTACCTGCTGTTCATACACTGTCGCATTCCTTGTAAAACTAAAGATACATGTAAGCATGTGTTGATTATTCAAAGAGATTACGATGAAGTAAAATTATACCAGCCATATGAAAACATAATACGTACGAGGAAATATAGGAGTTTTACACATGGTCGTTTCTCTTGCTACAATTACCAGAAGAAAATTTCTTTCGTCACGACATTCTGGGAGATCATTGATATTGAGGTCTTTCCCACATTGAAGTAGTTCACTCATATACCTGTGATATGATAGTTTACAAAAAATATGAAACTTTTTTTTCATATTTCAATTAAAGCTACCTTAACAAATAGAATATTTGTTCCTAGTGTCCGAAAATATTTACTGATATTCCATTACATCGCTGATAATGCTTCCTCTTCAAGCCTGTTTTCATAAAAAAAAACTTTTTTTGGCCAGTCTCATCGTCAGTTTCGTTTTATATTTTATCGGCATTGATTTTTTTATGGCCCTGTACATATGATTCCAATAATTCATATTTCTCTATGTAGAGGGTAATAAGGAGCTACCAATCTTCTAATAAGGTAGGCTCGTATTATGTTATGAAAGATAACTCTAACACAGCACAGCACATTACCACAGTGAAAAGAACTATGCAGATGGATATATCCTCTTCCACCATTAAAAAAGGAAATGGAGAAATAACATTCATTTCATTAGTGTGTCTGTAATCCCAAATCAAATTTATACAAGTAGCTTTGTGTTTTAATGTGTTCATTAGCATACCAATAGCTTTGAGTTTTAAGGTGTTCATTAGCATACATATACCAGTAGCTTTGTCTTCTGGGGTATTCAATAAGATACCAATAGTCTATTGATCCTAGGTGCTCAATATCAAGCGAGTAGCTTAGTGTTAAAACGTGATAAATTACAAACTAGTGGGTTAGTGTTTAAAGGCGTTTAATAACTTAAAAAATAACTTAGTGTTTTAATGTGTTCATTAATAAACTTATAGCTTATTGTTTTCATGAGATTACTAATTAATAAGTAGCTTTGTGATTTAAGGTGTTCAGTGACACATTAGCCGTTTTATGATCCGAAGTATTCACCAACAAACACTAACTTAGCTTTCGGTGGTGTTCACTAATTACAAACTATTAGACCAGTGTTTTAAGGTGTTCGCTACCAAACTAGTAGCTTTATGTTGTTCACCAAAAAACCTGTAACTTAGCGTTATGTTTCCATGCGTGCTAGTTAGTCTCCTACCGGTGAAACCGGAGGGGACTTTAGGTTTCCTCTGAGTCTGTCTGTCTGTCTGTCTGTCCCACTTGGTTTTCCACATTTTTTTTTCTAAACACTTGAAGATATTGAGCTGATTTTTGGTATGTGGGTGTATCTTGATGAGTTACAGATTAAGTTTGCATTTCGCTCCGCTTCAATGATTTTTGCCGGCATTACTACCTTTTCAATTTTTTCAGGGTTTTCCGCAATATTTTTCAAAACGCTTGCATATATTGAGCTGAATTTTGGCATGTGACTTTACCTTGATGAGTTATAGATCAAGTTTGCATTTTGTTACACTTCATTGATTTTTGACGGAATTGTAGTATTTTCAATTTTTAACGGGAATCAGATTACACTTGCCGGTAGGGGACAAGTATTGCTAATGCAATACTCTCAGAATGCTTGTTGCAAAGTGTTTTAAGGTTTCATTAACATACTCGTACATATCTGTTTTAATTTGTTACTAACATGCTAGTTGCTTAATACAAATCAGATACTGATAGCTTAGGTGTTCTAAGGTGCTCATTAATAAACTCGTAGTTCTGTGTTTAATAAGAAATGAAAGAAAGGTGAAAATAACGAACAATGATCGATCGAAAAAAAAAATCTATAAACAAAACAAATCCTTGAACAGGACATAAAAACACGGACCCCTGA